CTTGTGGGACACTCTTGTAGGACACTCTTGTGGGACACTCTTACGGGGCACTTTTGTAGGACACTCTTGTGGGTCACTCTTATGGGACACTCTTGTCGGACATTGTGGGACACACTTGTGAGACACTCTTGTGGGACACTCTTGTGGGACACTCATACGGGACACTCTTGTGGGACACTCTTGTAGGTTGCTCTTGTGGGACACTCTTGCGGGAGACTCTTGCGGGACACTCTTGTAGGAAACTCGTGTGGGACACTCTTGTAGGACACTCTTGTGGGACACTCTTGTAGGACACTCTTGTGGGACACTCCTGTCGGACACTCTTGTGGGACACTCTTGTAGGAAACTCTTGTGGGACACTCTTGTGGGACACTCTTGTAGGACACTCTTGTGGGACACTCTTGTACGAAACTCTTGTGGGATACTCTTGTAGGACACTCTTGTGGGACACTCTTGTAGGACACTCTGCTGGGACACTCTTGCAGGGCACTCTTCGTACGAGACTTCCTCCAAAAGTCACACGTCAAGTCTCCCAAACGAGCGTTTCGTACGAGACTTCCTCCAAAAGTCACATGTCAAGTCTCCCAAACGAGCGTTTCGTTCGAGACTTCCTCCAAAAGTCACGTGTCAAGTCTCCAAAACGAGCGTTTCGTACGAGACTTCCTCCAAAAGTCACATGTCAAAGTCTGCAAAACGAGCATTTCGTACGAGACTTCCTCCAAAAGTCAAGCAGAAACACCCGTCGGAGCACACACACATCACGCAGCCCTGCCAAGCAGTTTCGCGAGTCCAGCCCCTCCAAACAACACCCGTTCACACGCCAATCCCACTGTGACAGCGACATTCACTTCTACCACAACTCACGACCTCACAATTCCCTGCGCCTGCCACGAATCTTTCCGCATCCACATGTCTAACCCGCACAAAGTACTGCGCCTGCCGCGAAATGTCACCTCCGTCACACCTCGCAACCTCCCGATTCCCTGCACCTGCCACGAGATTCGCACTTCCACACCTCAAAAGCCGCACAAAGTACTGCGCCTGCCACGAAAAGTGACAATATCATCTCATGTGAGCTTCAACAAAATTTGCACCACACCACACGTTTGGAATGATTTCGGCCCGTTCTGAGCATACTCCCATCCACCAAAATCAGCATTTCAGCTGAGACTTGTCACGAAAACAGAGCTTCGATGCCACACCCTGAAACGCAAATCCCAATGGCACGGCCACATCCAACACCCCAAAAACACGACTCTCCAAACGCTAATCCCAATGGAACTGCGTCGCAAACTGCGGATCTCACGAAACGCTGCGCCTGTGCAGCGAAATGCATCACGCTTCTTGCGCGACATGTCCTTTTCACGCAAATCACAATGGACTCGCGTCGCAAACTCACACGTGACACATCCATGCATGGTCACTTGCAAAAGCTTCCCCCAATGGCAGCGCCTTAGCGCTCTACTGCGAACGGTTGCGGACGGTTGCGGACGGTTGCGGACGGTTGCGGACGGTTG